TAGCACTCATTTTCGGCCAATGAAGTTCACCCACTCATGACGCGAAAGCACAGCTTTCACATGTGTTCCATCTATTGCATCTATGCAATCTTCGAATAATGGATGCTTATTCGGATCTGGCCTGTGGGGATCTGCACCGTCGTTGTAGTTCGATCTTGACTGTATGAGCCGAGCAGATAATGAAACGACCGCACGAAGAACCTCCTTGAAGTACTGACATATTGTTTGCAATGAATGATTGAAAATTATATTCACCTGCCGGTAACCCTTTCCATGCGCTAATATGCATAGGAACATACCGACCTTCTCGTATATATTGACGCGCTGGCTACTGCGTAGGCCGTAATTGTCCCTAAAGGTATTAGCAAACTATCGTAGTTGCGATGGGAACATCCGGAACTCTTGGTAGCACATTTGTGCTTTCTTCTCCATCGGCTTCCTTCATAAACATATGACCGTTCCTTACGAAAGGAAATCGTCGGATGAGACGTTGTTGTTTGTGATAGTAGTGTGATGCGTCGCTGCCTGCCACTCGACAATACGTCATCCATTTCATGATGTTATTTGCCAGTTGGCAAATGAACTCTTCATCATTGACTTCTTCATTGTCTTCTGATCCCGACAGAATATCACAGTTAAAACCTAACTCATCCATTATGTATATCTCAAAATTACTAATTTGGCTTGTAATTTTGCAAAAAAAATTGTAAGATATTGAAGCCTTCTCTGGAAGGAATGAAATGTTACTATAATAGTAATCATCCCAAGTATTTTTATATACGCAACTTTGGACTGTTGGTACGTGATAATTTTGTAATGCAACATGGAATCTTTATCAGTACCGCACAAATTTTTGTAAAGGATAATTGTACGATAATTCATGTGAACATATTTCCTAGTTATCTGCTATCCAGTAGCGAATAAAGCACATGACACATTGTACACAAGTCAAATAGTACATACCAAGGCCCACTGTACGAACATAAACTACAAATCATAGAAAGTAATAGACAAATAGAAAAAAAAAAAGAAACAAATGAACATGAAAATACTAATACATACGTACAGTTCATTTATCAAAGAACTACGGACGGGACTTGTTGTCCCTATTGAATTGCCACTCAATCCACTCAAATTTTTCATCGGCGTCGGCGAAAACGTAGAGCATGTCCCGAAAGCGCTTCTAGGCTAGAAGCATACAAGCGAAGAAGTATAGGGGCATGCGTCGTTTCAGCCTTCCTGCCGCCAACAACTCTTCCACGTATGCCACACCTGCGTTCTTATCTAGGTTCAAAATTTTGTTTATCTGGGCCACCACTTTCTCGGTGGCACAGTTTACCCGATCAACGGAGTAGGACAAATCCTTCGCAGAAACTTTCTTCTTCTTTCCTTTTCGGGAACTCGAGCCCTACTTCCTCTTCTCGTCGCTATGGGGTCCACACAAATTACCATCAGAGATACAATGCCCCTCGTCAACCTCGTCACTCAACCCACAGGGATCGCATCCCTCAGGTCCTCCGCCACACTGTCCTCGAACAAACCGAAGCCCGTACTACACAACTTGGTGGGGGTTACTGCATACTTATCCCCGTCGTAGCTATATCTGAAAAATTGCTGATATTTGACGTAGATATCACCGATATCTTTGTCCTTGAAGTCCTTGTAATCTTTATTTTCCTGCAGCCACAGAAAGTCCCACTTTTCAAATGGTCAACACATGTGGAACCCCATTTTATTCCTGCCAAATTCTAACTCTTACTACGTGATAATTTCCATACCCACAATTTTCAACTATCTAAAGTGCATGATAAATAACATATTACACAATGAACTTATATTATCGAACAAAATCGCAAATAACTTATACAGTGAGGGAGCCAGTTTACCTTTATTTTTCTGTTCCACCATTCCTCAGATGCCACTATACAGCCATTGGATGGGTTGTACTAAACCCCGGTACAAGATAGTAGTTTGGTAAGCCTTTTGTGCTCTCGATACATTGCATCCCAGTGGTTGCGAAGTTGAACTTTGGTCCAATTGAGGTCGGATATGGACTTGAACAAGGTGACGCCACGCTCCCAGCCAAATTTCGTGAAACATATACAATGTCGATGCACTTGGGCGCTCGCNAAACACTTGCCATGTCGATGCCCTTCGGTGATCGCAGTTTCACAAGCGGCTATAAAACAGCGTTTCTCGGCTTATCGCCATTTCGCATATTTTTTGGACGCTTCACCAGTCGAGAAATCGTTAACTGGAATGGATGAACCAGCCCGATTGTAGTTGGTAGACTGTAGGGAAATTCAGAGGTTCAACCACACCAAGAACAAGAAACTGAAAACGAAAAGAAATCAAGGGCTGCCCATCAAAGGAAATACCTGTGAATTGAATGGGAACATTGCTATGGGAAACAAATGTTGGTTGAAATGTTGTCCCCTTCAAATTGAACGTGTGGAACCAGCCTGTTCTTTCCTGGAGTCCCCTGCAATAAGTGAACATTCGTGTAATTCAACTAGAAGTCGATTTTTTTGAGGAAAAGGCAAAATTTCAAGTGGCCAGAATTGGCAACAAGCAAATGAACTTATGTAATTCACAGTCATGGTAATGCAATAACGGATCCATTTCATCGGGTGGCAAAATAAAAAACGAACTGGAAATCGATTGTTTTGTGGAAAAGGGAAAAATTCAGATCACTAGCATTTTGGCAACAAGCAATTGAACGATGCACAGTTATGGTAATGCACAAACGGATCAATTTCATCAAGTTACAAGAATCAAAGTGCGAAACGAATCATCCGGAACATTTATTGTCATCAAATTATCACAATTTCATCAAATGAACGTGGAGCTGCAGATTTGTAAAGAAATTTCGATCTGTACAAAAACGAAGAAATATTAACCTGAAAATGCTATGACTGTGAATGAGTTGCAGCAGACCGAACAGGGAGAACCTTTTGTTCAGACCGTTAGCAAAGTGATGTCGATCTGTGATGGTAGCTGCAGGTTTTTTGAAAAAAAAAAAAAAAAGGACGACAGTCTCGAAAAGTAGTGCTGAGGAATTTTTTTGCTCACCTAGTGCACTTGAGAAGCTTGGCCCAGAGTTGTAGCGTGGGGATTTGCAAGGAGAGAAGCTTGGCCGGTATTTTTCTCCACTGTCGGTGAGGAAGAGGGTAGGTGAGAAAGAGGGAGAGGGTAGAAATGGACAATCACGTCTGCTACTATAGTGAAAGTAGGGTAAATGACCTGCATAATGTCAGGATTTACTATTGCTAACGGGTCAATTTTTTATACAAATTGAAAAAAAAAGGTGCCCCAAATAGGGGCTTAATACTATATTAATATTAAACTATTAAAATTTATTGAATAACCAGATTTCTTGAATAAAATATTATAAAAACAATATTCTTAAAATTTCAAAGTAAACGCGTTTTCCATTTTTATGTTTTGAGAAACAATTCTTCAGAATGACAAAAAGAATGCATTTTCAAAAATTTCAAAACAGACACTCAAAACACAAAACACAAAACGAATTCAAAACTCAAAATACAAAACTGAAACACAAAGAGAACGCCCCCTAACTTTTTTAAAACTAATTCTATCCTTTTTATAAAAAAAAACTAATTCTCAAAATTTCAAAGTAAACGCGTTTTCCATTTTTATGTTTTCGGAAACAGTTTTTCAGAATGGGAAAGAGAACGCATTTTCAGAAATTTCAAAACAGACACTCAAAACACAAAACACAAAACGAATTCAAAATTCAAAACACAAAACTGAAATACGAAGAGAACGGCCCCTAAATTTTCAAAAAATGGGATTCAAGTAAGATCATATTGTGCACTTGCTAATTAGAATTTTATATCCATGTTACATGAATAATCACTTTGGTTTCACAACAATATTTGCATATGTATGTTGGATATGTGGAGCTTAATATATTGTACATTTTTCATTCAGTCGCTATTTTAGGGGTGCTTTAAAAAATTCACATATGTATTGGCCAACTCAATATTTTCCTCCTATATAAATGGTATTAGGCGAACATCTATTTTGTGTATCATGGTTAAACATGAGTCCAAATCACATTTTAACTATGTTCTTCGATATAGTGCTATTCAGCAAAATATTTGGTGCAATAGCTCTCACATTGAGGGTGAAGTATGTATATTACGTGTAAGCTTCACTTTTATTTTCTTACTTTGTATTATTAATTGTACTTGAAAAAATACAAATTATTTGTCATATCATAATAGTGTGCTAACACACTAGACTTTATGGATTTAGTCTAAAAGACAAATATTATACCTGTGATAGCATATAAAGCATTTGCAATTTCTGTTTTTAATAGAGGTGGGATAACAAAAATTATCAAATAAATATATTCATATTTTCTACCAATTGGATAATGATTATCCAATATTTTGAAAATTCTATTAAAAAGGTAAGATGGTTTCAGAATCATGAAATCCTTTCATATTAGATAAGGACTGTAACACGGAATGTGCATAATGGCTTTGTATTATTCCACCACAAGTATACTTTGTAAATAATGTATTACTTTGATATTTCTTCATTAAGTGATTTTCTTTATTTCTTAGAATATTTCTGAATCATTGATAAGAAAAACATTGTTATTTCTCTAAGGATATCTTTTTAAAAAGTCGATCCCAACAGAAACGTAAAGGTCTTTCCTGGACCCTTCAAGAAACGTAATGGTCGATCCATTTTACACCTCTAATGACATATTTCTTAAAACCCGTGTCTTTATTTTTTTAAAAATTATAAAGCAGAAATTGTGTTTAGGACATTGAATAGTAATACTGGCTAAAAAAAGAAATTGAAAAAAACTCTCAAGTTATTATTAATCAAAACATAGGTGAACTGGAACCATTTCCAGTCTTATTCTTTAATTTTGATTCTTATTGCATTTTAGCATTTCACTGATATTAATGTTGCACAACACTACATGTGCACCCACTTATACAGCAAATTTAAGAGCTTGATCATGGGCAGAAGACAACACGGTAGTTGGTCCCAGCCGGGCAAGTGAACAGGCTTGTCCGATCGTCTTGCGGGTAGCTATAAGCATCCGGGCACCTATCTTTAAAGAACCTCGAAAATGTTGTCGGGCCACAACTTCCAGGTCCATTGGTGCAACAATATTCGTTGGTGTTGAAAACTGTGCACGGGTTGTTACAACCGCCAGGAGTACGTAGTTCGTTTGGACATTGCTCGACGATAGGGGCATTGCATACGAGGCGGCGACAGACGTTGGTGGTGGGGCTGAACTCCAACGGGATGTTAAATCCGTCTACGTTTGAGATGTCGACGTAGTCCAAGTTATTAGGCTGATTAAGGGCAAATTCAGCAAGGGTATTAGGAGGTCTACCATAACCTTGGCATTCTAATAGCCCGTTGCAGTCTCCGGTTTCACATTGACCGCGACCATTTGCGTCGAAGTTACAATTAGTACGCCCCCAGATTCGGCCCTGGGTAGTTCCTGGGGCGACGTTAATACTCCACGATTGGCCTCGGTCGAGTCTTCGACCGCCACCGGGCGAGGCAGCAGCCCAGACAGTGTAGGTACATTGGTTTACAATGTCGAAAGTGGCAGCATGGGTATAGGCAAAGAATGTGATTGCCCAAAGGGACACTAAAAGGGGGAGATTTTTGGAGAAATTCATGTTTGCTGCAATTGTGCTTTGTGTGTGTGTGGTTTAAGGAATTCTATAGCTGGGGGATTATATAGGTGTATGGCGGCTTTGATTTTGCGTGTGCATGATGATCTTCTTTATTTTTGCTTAGACATTTCAAAGATGTTAATCTTATTTTTTGTCTTTCTTGCATGCATAGTCAAGCTGTCAACTATTAATTGTCTCATTAAATTTAGTTAGGTTCAGTAATTACCATTACCTTTCCGTATCAAACATCGCAGAAGAAAGGGTTATCGAACAACGGTGTCAAATTGCGGTATAATTAGTTTTGAAAAGTTTTAGATAAGATGATTTAATATGATATTAGAGGTAGCAAATATATTATGAATGTTGTGGGGGCGTCAAAGAAAAAAAACTATAAAATCAAGAGGATTGCATTTCCTGGACTTTCTTGGCATTTTCCATTCGTTGTTAGATTGCATAGTCTAAAAGGATTGAGAAAATGACAATTCAGATGTTATCTGTATTGTCATTTCTTCTAGAGGTTAGGCCTGGACTTGACTTCTATTACAATGAGAATATGACAACAATGTTAGGGAATTGAATTTTCAAACACAATTTTGGACATTTATATTACTATTCTGTGGAGTAACAAACTTGCCACACAAGGATGGAAAAATAATTTAAGATGAAAAATATAGCCAATAAGAATGTTACATTTACATGATATAGTTGTCGAATTGAGCTAGAGACACCCGAAAAATGGCAAGATTTCGTAAGTAAAATTTACTTTAGACAAACATTTGAAAAAAGTTTGGATATCAATGGATAGTAATCCATTGGTTACAGATTGAACAAATGGAAGCTAACGTGGAATTTTGTTGACTTGATCAAGTAATAAATAAGTTTAATGACAATTAAATTTGGCTTTAAATTCAGTGGCCACCAATAATTTTAACCCTTTATTTTTATTTTAAGATAGAGGAACTTGTTCGATTTTGATTCTGAGAATCAATTATTTTGCATGCATACTCATTTTCAATCATGCATTCTCGAAAAAATAAAATAAAAATAAAAAAATAAATTATTTTTCACTTTTTTCTATAATTTTTCTCTACTTTTAACCCCATATTCCCAAAATAAATAAATAACTTTCCACTAAATCACTTCTCAAAAGTATTTATCTAACGAGCGCAATATTATGGTGAATCTTAATTGGAGTCCTAGATATTAAAACGATATTTGATAATTCGTATGTTGTCCTTCTCACATAGTTGATCATGTGTTATGCAATCTTGACATTTTTAGCCCTTGTTTGAGCCCAATTATCTAAGATTCATTTTTCCTAAATTCATTTTTAATCACATATTTTTAAAATAAAATAATTTTACACGTAAATTAAAAACATCCCTATTTTTTAACCACACATTCTAAAAAAAAAATCATTATTATAAAATTTATTTTAAACAAAAATAAAAATAAAAAAGAGCCTCAATCAGAGTCTTAGTCAAGCAAACCTAACATTTTTAAACAATAATAAACTATTCTACTGTATAGCTCTTTTTATTATTGAATATGAAATATGCTATTCGGTGTTAATATATATCCGGGTTTGAAGAAACTAGATTAGTCCACGGACTTGGATGCCAAATGCATCTCATTACATAGGCATGCCTTGTAAATATCACAACTGAGATTGAATTTTAAAAATTATAAATTTTAATGAATTTCGTTAATTTAAATAGATTTTTACATAATAATTAATAAAAGTCTCAATAAAAATGACGAAATATCGAAAGAATTTGTTATATATATTTTTAAGTTTGCAATTCATCCAAATCTCTTGAAATCATTTTATTAATAAAAGACTTATAAATCCATGAGTTATTGGTGATACCTGGATTTTAATAGAATGTAACTTGAGCCCAATTTTTTAAAAACTCATTTTTTTTTCTCAAATTTATTTTTAATTACACATTCTTTTAATAAAATAATTTTATACGTAATTTCAGAACTTTTTCCTTTTTTTTAACCATACATTATCCAAAAAATAATTATTACAAAATCTCTTCTATCAAAAATTTGGGACTCAAAACAGATCCTAAAATTCAATTGGAGATACCTGAATTTTTATGAGGGTTAAAATTCATTAAAATCTTAGTTGAGGAAACCCTATCATTAAAGAACTATTTTACTTGATTGTCTTCAAGACTTTCATATTTCTTCGTTAAAATGATTTTCTTTATTTCTTAGAATATTTCTGAAACCTGTGTAAGAAAAATATTGTTATTTTTCTAAGAATAGAACCCACTGGCCAGCCCGGTCTAAAGCAATATGAGCTGTGCCTGCAGGCCATCCTAGGACTGACATTTTCCAGTTCGGCCTGACCTGATGGAATAGTATTTGTCTTCCCTGGACACTTCGAATTCATTGTCGTTCTTTTAAAATTAAATAGCAGAGATTGTGCTTAGGGAATTTATACATAGCGGGTATAGGCAAAGAGTGTGATTGCCCAAAGGGACACTAAGAGGGGGAGATGTTCGGAGAAATTCATGTTTGCTGCAATTGTGCTGTGTTATTTTTTGTGTGGTTTAAGGAATTCTATAGCTGGGGGATTATATAGATCAATGACGGCCTTGATTTAGCGTGTGCATAATGATCTTCTTGATTTTTGGTTAGACTTTTCAAAGACATTAATCTTAATTTCCATCCTTCTTGCATGCATAGTCAAGATGAAAACTACTACTTTAGTGTCAATAAGATTAGTTACGCTCAGTAATTAACATTACCTTTCCGTATCAAGCGTCGCAGAAGAAAGGGTTATCGAACAGCGGTTTTGTTCATCGTGCCAAATTTTGCAGTATAACTATTTTTAAAAATTTTAGATAAGGTGATTTAATATGATATTAGAGTTAGAAAAATATTGATTTATTTATGAACATTGTATACTTTTACAAGAGGGGCTTTGAAGAAAAAAAATTATATAGTTAACAGGATTACTTTATTAGATGGCATTTTCCATACATTGTTAGATTGCTTAGTCTAAAAGGATTGTGAAAATAACAATTCAACTACACAGATGTTATCTGTATTGTCCTTTCTTCTAGAGGTTAGGCCTGAAATTGACAATGTTAGGGAATTGAATTGAATTTTCAAAGGGACTTTTGGACATTTATACTACTATTCTGTAACAAACAGACCAATTAGAATGTTACATTTAGATGAGACAGGTGTCGAGATGAGCTAGAAACATCCCAAAAAAAAAAGGTTAAATTCCTTGAGTAAAATGTACCTTTGACGGACATTCAAAAGATCCTTCGATACCGAGGAAATGGTAATATATTGGTTACAGATTGAACAAATTGAAGCTAATGTGGAAGTTGATTAAGTTGATCAAATAGTATTAAAAAAATTAGTGAATGACAATTAAATTTGGCTATAAATTCAGTGGCCACTGATAATTTTAACCCTTTAAATTTAGTTTTATTTAAGATAAGAGGTTTAGTCGATATTAAACCCTAGATTGATTTTAATTGAGAATCATTTCTTTTGCACGCTCATTTTCAATTAATCATTCTTATAAAGTAAATAAATAAATAAAATCATATTTTCTCATAAATTCTCCCTACTTTTTATCCTCATATTCCTAAAAAATATTTTTTTAATGAATCGCTCCTAAAAAAATCTTTATCTAACAAGAGCTAATATTACGGCGAGCCTTAAATTGGGGTCTTGAATATTCAAACGATTTTTAATAATTCATATGTTGTCCTTCTCACATAGTATTGTCAGTCTTGTGTTATGTGCCCTCATAACATGTTTAGTAAAGCAGATTTATAAATATTGCCATACCAAAACTAAGTGCAAAGAATTAATCAAACTGACCTAGTAGACAAATCAGGAATATATAAGCAAAAACAGCAATTGGACTAGAGAATGAGATTGCATTATAAAGTCGCAAGATGAATGCTACATGTACAACACTTGGATTACAATCGCGGGCCCCACCCCCTCGTGAGAGATTGTCATCCAATGTTGTAATCAAGTGTTGTACAATGAGAATTATTCAAGTCACAATTAGACAATATAAAAGGGAAAAAATATAATAATCTATTCTATTGTGTCTCTCTTTATTTTTGCATATAAATTATGCCATCCAGCGTAAATATGTATCCGGGCTTGACGAACTAGATTAGTCCCTGGACATGGATGCCAAATGCATCTAATAACATTTGTGTGCTTGTGACTATTGAGTTCAGAGAGAATGGAGGAAATCTTTTTCATTCCAGTTAAATTAAAAAGGAAATTGATGCAGTGGAAGCTTATAAGAAAGACAAAAATCTCACAAAAAAAAATTTCAATCAAGAGAAATTCAAGAAAAATTTTATTTCCTTCAAAACTGAGTTGCCTCAAAAGGCTTACAACGTTTAAATAGCGAAACCCTAATAAAATTTGGAAAGAAATTACATAATAATAAAAAATATTATTTTTTCCAAAAATGGAAAAAATTGAGATAATCACGGATCTTGATTCTCCTAATCATCAGGATCGTCCCCCAACAAACGGAAATCAAATCCGAGTTTATTTGACTAAGATATTGCCAAAACAAAAATTACCATAAACGGCAAAAACGCATAATTGAGGGCCTAAACGATGG